CCTTGACAGCCAGAGGTTTGGACCTAGCAGGCCCTTCAAAAGTGATTCTTTAACCCCAATTTTAAATGCAACCACATCCTCATTTTTGTCCAATACCGAGCATTTGACATCAGGAATGGAAAGCTGATCCTTAAAATAGTCAGAGATCTGGTTTTCGGTGGTTCTCGCATCACATCGACCCAGATAGAGATAAAATATAGGCAAAACGGGATACCAACTTCTACTAGGTGCAGTATTTACCGCACTTTTTTGATAAGGTACATGATGACTACAGGAGTGTCTCACTGACCTGAAGCAGCGAAAAAGCAAATGGGGTGGCGATATAGCTGGAGCTGCAACGTTATTTATACGGTATTAACAGCATCCTCGAAAGTCAAAACTGGATGAATGGTCGAAAAGATAATATTTGGCCCGTTGCAATACAACTCCTGGACAAAATCACACAGGGGCTGTAATAGAAAATACTTTAATCCAAAATTACCAATTGACGCGCTACGACACGCACAAATATGAGACAAGTTGGGTTATTGACAGAACACTGTCACTTGAGGAAACATCAACACAGTATGGGGATATTCAATGGACCCACTGAATGCAGACTATGTGAAGAGGAAGACGAAACAGCTTCCCACATCAAATATGACTGCGGTCCTATCACACAAAAGATACAGACTCTTTGGAGCAATACAGACCGGGGGTAGACTACCGCCTGAAAATCTTGTCCAACGACTATTCGGCCTGATACAGTAAACAGGACTCTTGTAGGACAGGAAGGAAATTGGGGTGCACACAGGCCACAGCGCCTAGATCCCCCTAAAACCAACCAACCAACCAACTAACCAACGGCTAAGTCATTTCTTCTGAATATTAACGTTACCAATCTTCTGAACCTTCGCTTGTAATAAATGTAGTCTTTCTCTTTAACTGGCATTTGAAAACTGGTCTTCAATTATTACAGGCAGTGGAAATTCTGTTTTTTGTTACCAATCTACAGGGTGTAGAAATTTTAATGTATTCATTAAAGAATATGACGGCGACGGCGCGGCGTGGCTCACTTCTAGATTCCTATTGAAAATTAGCAAGAATATGGCGGCGGGACCACTATTGTCGCCAATGTACGTGAAAAGGTTTATTGAGTCACTGTAGTCATTGAAGTGCAATTTACCAGTCATTTTGAAAATATTCTATAGATACTTCGATACAAAAATCAAAAAGGAAGCAGTTTTATAGGTTAAATTTAGACCATTTTGTGGTTTTTAATATAATATGCAATTTTGAAACAATTAAGTCTTGACAAAAGTGCATCTACTCTGTATCACTATGATATTTTCTTATCAATACCAAAGCCAAAAGGAAGCAGTTTCAGAGAAATTTAGATTATTTTGTGACCTTCAATGCAATTTTAGTAATATATGGTATTTTGGTTCCTTTCCCTTTTGGTTCCCTTCCCTTTTAATATTTTATTTTAGATTATTACCTATATTTCACTAATGTATTATTATTAGCAAACAAAATAGCGCCTACTGCGAGACCTACCATGAAAATAACTGATTGGTCTCTTGTTCCTTATGGCATGGTTATGGTTGAATGGAAGAATGACCAATAACAGACAAAACGATCAAAGTTCATTGGCTTTTATGCCTTGATTATCTCTGGCAGTAATGCGAATTGTATTATTGTTGTAGGAACCTGTTGCAATTTGAGCACAGGTGAAAGACTGAATATTTTTCATTTTTGGCAGGAGAAAAATCTCAATTATTTGAATTCCAATAGTTTTGTTTTGACCAGTTAATAATCAGGTGCATATCAATTACAAAAGATTTGCATATTTTAAATACCGGTACTTAAATACATTTTTATCAGATATTTTTCACATTTTCTCTTGTATGTTCCTATATTTGGCAAATTAATTTATTTGAACATTACCGAACACAAACAGCCTATATTTTTTTATCACCAGATACCAATAATAGCATATGGTAGATGTAGATACGGTCTGTAGAACAAACATATTGCAAGGGACCGCGGTACGGTGTACCTTTAATTTCCTGTCACCTGTCGGTCCGGGTGGATGATGCGGTTCTTTCTTTGTTGTTTGTTGCCCTTATTATATGTAATAAGAGATAGGTTTTTGAAGTCGCAACCATTATTATTGTAAAATTGGACATTTTAAATTATGTAGACTAGACAGATTAATTACATTTTTGTTCTATATCTAATACAGTGTTCATGGTTATTTGAGTAAAAAATCAATGTAATTATTATGCCTATATTCCGAAAAATGCAATGCTAATTATTTATGCTCATTATTGTTCAAACAAATGACGCGAATGTGCTAAAACGAATGCATGCATCCGGTTAGGCGATCAGTAGGCACTACAGAGCATGGAGAACTAGCATAGGAACTGATGAATATAAAGAAGTTTTTCAATAAATGACGTAGGTACTATATCTCCCAGTAGGTTTTTTTTGACATACAGGGTGATTCAAAAGTATGCGGCAATCTTTCGGGGGCGTATTCCTTGCATAAAAATAAGACAAAAAGTTCCTATTAACATGGGTCCGGAAATGCTTCCTAAGGGAGCTACGCCCCTTCGAATAGGGCACCTGAAAGACGTATTTTTCTCTATAACTTTGAAACCCTTCACAAATGGATTTTGAAAATTGGTGTATTTTATAAACATTTGATGGCAATTAAGATACTAAATTGAAAATTCAAAAATCTTAATCAGTGGCGTCACATACTGGGGAGGGTGAGGGTTAAAACATCCCTATTTTTTTTACTTTTCAGGTTTTTGCGATTCTGATTGAAAATTCGAGAAGTTTAGAGTTTTTTACACAGAAAAGGTACTCTTGGTTTAATCCGATACAGCGTACCGTTTACGAGAAAATTGGCTTTGAAAATTTTCTGATTTGCGTATGTTTATTGATGAAAACTACTCTGCATTGCAATGTAAAAAAAAGAACACATAAGCTAACAATTTAGAGAAAATGTTCAAAATTATTACCATGAGCAGCACGACAAGCTGCTAATCTTTTTATAAGATTACGATGCACACGTGGTAGAATTCTTGGATTGTTTCTAATTGTCTGAAATGCGTCCTCTATTCTCTGTCTGAGAACATCGATATTAGGTATTGGGTGGCAATAAACTAACTGTTTTATATGTTCCCATAAATAAAAATCGAGGGGGTTTAGGTCAGGAGACCGTGGAGGCCATAACACTGGACCCTCACGACCTATCCAACGGTTTTCGTAGGCATCATTCAAATGGTTTCTAGCATTTTAGGGGACACATAAAACAGCTAGTTGCGACCCAATACCCAATATCGATGCTCTCAGACAAAGAACAGAGGACGTATTTCAGACAATTAAAAACAACTCAAGAATTCTACCACGTGTGCATCGTAATCTAATAAAAAGATTAGCAGCAGAGTAGTTTTCATCAATAAGCATACGCAAAGCAGAAAATGTTCTCGTAAACGGTACGCTGTATCGGATTGAACTAAGAATACCTTTTTTGTTTAAAAAGCTCTAAACTTCTCGAATTTTTAATCAGAATCGCAAAAACCTGAAAAGTAGAAAAAACAGAGATGTTTTAGCCCTCACCCTCCCCAGTATGAGACGCCACTGATTTAGATTTTTGAATTTTCAATTTAGTATCTTAATTACCATTAAATGTTTATAAAATACACCAATTTTCAAAATCCATTTGTGAGGGGTTTCAAAGTTATAGAGAAAAATACGTCTTTCAAGGTGTCCTATTCGAAGGGGCGTAGCTCCCCTAGGAAGCATTTCCGGACCCATGTTAATAGGAACTTTTTGTCTTATTTTTGTGCAAGGAATACGCCCCCGAAAGATTGCCGCTTACTTTTGAATCACCCTGTGTATAGCAGCCTTTTGCACAAGGAAAACATTCATAAAATCTGAATCAGTCCATCTGGTATTTTCGGTTTAAACAGTGATCCCTAGGTATAACGAAAAGTTTTTCACTGCTTTGACAGTAAAAGTGTCACTTTAGAGCCCCTCTACAGGTTTCAGTTCTTTCAAAAAAAGTGTGCCGCAAAAAAAATTGTATCCTACATGACAGGTCTCAGCTTGATGGTTGAGATATTTCTAAGGTTGAGATACCCAACCGTTCCCATATTATGGCTGATGACATGAGTGATGAGTTGAGATTTCGTAGACTATATTGTAGTAGATAAGTTCCTAAGTAGATTGTAGATTAGTTCTTCGATGTATGTAGAGTTTCTGTAGATTTCCAAAAAAACTAGACAATATTTTTTTTTTAATGATAGGACTAGGACCATCAAAAAAACATAAGTATACTTTCTTTTAGGGCGGAATATTTATTCAAATCATTGTATGCGGTAATCAATCAAATACCTAAGGTACCTAATATGTAATATTTCAGGCACAAAATTTTCAAGAAAGCTGATTTACCCAGATTAGAAATTCGCTGGAAAAAATTAGTTTGAAAGTTGGAATAGTTTGCCAAAACAGAAACTTGAAGATCTACAGTAGGATGAAGGATGCTTGAAAATGTGTCTACATGATTTCTCAGATTTTGTAAATTGTATCGTACGTACAACCTTGGTTTCTGTAAATATTTTTGAATTTGTTGGGTGTTGATTAAGTGCCAAATTTGAACTCATTATTAAACATTTCCCTTATAAGAAATTGAAGTTTTCATTAGAATAGGACCAAGTGCATGCAGAATTGGTTTTGTTTGACAGCTTAGACAATTTTTCACTACCCTAGAGTGAAAAGATCAGATCTTAGCTTATTATGAGACCGCCAGGTGAATGGTTTTTTGAAATGCCGCAAAATTCAAATTTCTCAAGCCGTTCTAAAATTATGCGTCTAAAAAAATCTCAAAGTCAATAAAAACTGGTATTATTACTGCAGTTACCTTGTTTCCAATTAGCACCAAATTTAGCATATTTACCACAAACTAACCAAATAACACTAATAAATTAGTCAAACAAAAAATAACTTACATAATTAATATTTTCCACACAGGTCGCAAATAAATAGCTCGTTCAATAACCACTAACCAGCAAAGCGGACACAAAAAAATTATCCGAAAAATAACACAAACAAAAAAAAAACACAAAAATAAAAACTTCGAGTAGTATCGTCGTAGAGCGAATTTAACACACACTCGCGCTGCCGTCGAATGAACGAGAACGAATCGTCCTATGAAATTTAATTTCGTTTGGTATTCACATCTCGCGGTTCAGGTGAACGTTCAACTCCCACCATTTCCTTTTTACCTGTTATCATCAGGGTACTCGTTTCGTTTTTATCTAACCGATGAAGGCCGCCAATAATTGGTTAGAGGGATAGAAAAATGTACCAATTAAATCTGATATGAGTGGTTTTTACCAATTAAAAAAAAAAAGTCCTGCCTGGGATTACGATACCCATATGCAGACTTGTTCAAAGGTCGCATATTACATTTTAAATTATTGCTGAATAGCTTTTTCCAGTAATAAGGCGACGAAACTCGTCAACTAATTAGTCTATGTTTTTTGATCTGATATTACCAATATTACCAATATTACCAACCCTCTCCATTCTTACAGTTGAAAACATTTTGCAGATCTCATTGTACCTACTCTCTTTCGTACTAAATTTGGGAGTTTGTTACCAATTTCAGTTTATGTCACGGGTATGTATGTAGGTGTTGAAGTGTCAGTTGCACTGCGACCAATAAGATTATGATCTATTGTACTCCTCCTTCTGCTACTAAGCTCGGGTTTCCTACTACTACTTTAATCCTAGGTCCTTTAGGATAATAGGATATCTAGCGGTTCCAGGGCTCGAATGTCTTCCAACTGTGTAGGGGCACTTCCCAGGTTCTTGGTTCTTCATCCTTGAACGACCAACGGCATCGCAGTTCAGTAGATGATGGTGAGGTGTATCTTCTCCGTGTTCACAGAATCTGCAGGTACCACCTTCTACCAACTCCAATTTCTATAAGTGTTTCTCAACTCTGCAATGTCCCAGGAGAAACTTGGTTGAAGTTGCCCACTAGATCTTTGGCCTGTCGTAGTCCTGGCTGTACTAGCCGTTGCTTGTTCCTTAGCTGGAACTCTCTTCCTTTTTGAGGATTTCTTGGAGGTGCGCATTTCAGACGCCGCAAAATGGTTCGGGCTCAGTGAAGGGAGTAGACGCTCCTGTTCTTGCGAGTCTGTCTGCACATTCGTTGCCCTCGACCCCTATGTGCCCAGGAACCCAGAAGAGGGTTACTTTATTTTCTTTTCCCAGCTCATTGAGTTTCTGTAGACATTCCCATAGTATCTTAGAATTAATTGATGCCCGGGGAGCTCAATGCTTTGATAGCTACTTGGCTGTCAGACATTATTACAATCTTTCTTTTTGGATAACTTCTGTTCAGGTTGAATTGCTCGCATCTTCTAATCGCATGAAGTTCCGCTTGAAATATGCTTGGGGGATTTTCGCATTGACTCCGGGTATCTGGTCCTTGGCCCGAATACTCGGCAGTTTTGGAACCGTCTGAGTACCATTTGATGATGTTTGCTTTAAGGGATTGGATAGATTTTATGTTCCATCTGTCTTATGTAGGTTAGTTCGATGAAAAAGTTTTCTCGAAACTGAATTTATCAACAATCACATCTTTTGGTAGATCCATGAGGTGTGCACAGTTTGGGAGAGGAAAAGTTCTACCAAAGTGCGTTTTCCCTTGTAACCCTATCTTCGCCAGTCTGAGACATGATCCACTGGCAACCCGCTTCACTATTATGTGGAGTGGTGTGAGGTCTAGGATGACTTCCAGTGCCGCAGTTGGGCATGATCTCATTGCTCCTATTATACAGAGACACGCGAGTCTGCACTTTTCCTAGGGTTTTCCTAGCTACCGTTCCGTAGGCGATGATAGGTCTCATTATCAGGTATACATCCATCTTAGGATTGATGGGTTACAACCCTACCACGTTTTACCCGCAATGTTTTTTTTTGCAGACCATGAGTGCCGAAATTGCTTTGTTTTTTGTGTTCTCTACATGTCGGTTCCAGAGAAGCTTAGAATTTAACTTCTTGTTTCCAGTCAAGCGAGTCTGCTTCCATTGAGGCGAATGTTCCTCAGGTTTGGGAGTTTCCTTCTTGAATGTTACCAGTGTGGTTTTCGCTGAGTTTAGATCCATCCCCACTGTCTGACACCATTCCTTCGTGGTTCGAAGTGCATTTTCTACAAGGTCATAGAGTATTCCTTCATATTTGCTCTGGCCATGATGACAATATCATCGGCGTATCCAAAGCAGGCGAGGCCCTGATCGGTCACTGTATTCGGGAGATCATCCACCACTAGACTCCACATCAAAGGTGAGAGTACCTTTCGTTGTGGTCTGTGGACATCCTTTAGTGGTGGTGACTTGTATGGTTTGTTCACCCACGTCAGTTTCTGCAGTTTTGGTGGCTAGCGTTTCGCACATCTAAGTGGAGGTGGTTTTGTCCACTCCTTTTCTGACGAGCGCATTCTTAATATTGACTCATGAGAGGTGTTATCAAACGCCCCCTCTATGTATAACAAGTCACAGACGGCTACTTCTTTATTAAGCAATGTATTTTGAATACTGTCAGTGTCAGAGTTTAAATAAAGCGATTTCTCTTGATCTGCCCGGTCTGTAAGCATGTCGTCCAGGATGTGGTGGCGTCTTTTCTAAAACACTTGTTCTAATGTAGTTATTCATCACTTTGTCTGCTGTTTTGAGCAAGAACGACGTGAGACATATAGGTCTGGATGACTCCGGAAGAAAGGCATCCCTTCTCCCTGCCTTTGGGATGAAAGTTGCTGAAGCTCTTATCCATTGACTGGGTATGTATCCGGTCGCTAAGCTGTATCTGATAAGTTTGATTAGATACGGCATGATTTCATTTTGCTCTTTTTGTAGCAGGGCCGTCAACTCCAGGTGACTTGAACAATTGGAACAAGTCAATCACCCAAGTAAGCCGCTGAGGAGTGCAAAGGTTTTTGCCTGGTTTTCCTGGGCCGCCCTTTGTTTTCTTCAGTATCATTGGGTATACTTCCTAGAAAGTGAGTTTTGATCGGTTTCCAGTAGCAGAACAGCTCGTTGCTCTTCATTTTCTGTGTAACTACCTTCTGGTTTCTTAAGTGTCAATGGTCCTTGCGCCCTGCCTTTCGCCAGGGTTTTGTATATTCTGGCTACTGATGGTATGTTTCTGTGATAGATTCAGTTTTTTCGTTTGGTCTTCCTTATTTCTTTGTTGTACTCATTCAGCCTTTCGGTGTAGCCCTGCCATTCTTCGTCTCGTTTGGCTTTGTTGAAAAGCCAACGAACCTTGAATCTAAGTCGTGACAGGTGACTATTCCACCATGGGCAACTCTCCAATTCCTGATCATTTGGTCATTATTTGGACATACCAAGTGTTGCGTCACCTCCTGTCTGACCCTAGTAACAAATGTTGGTGTATTCCCTAGGTATAATCTATTCACAATCCGAAGTCCGAACTAAAGGTAAGATTTATCACCTTTCAGTTGGTAGTTGTTATGGACTTTATTTTTATCACCTGCATTATGTTGGTGAACATTTTTATATGTCTTTGGAAGGTTATGATGACAAACTGAAAAATAGCAGAGCAGGACTGAAGCATATTTTTATACTTTGAAAGGGATACTTTTAATACCGTTGCAGCACAAATCTCACTTTTCTAATATCATGTTATCGCTTAAGAAATATGCACTAAATCTTACCTTTAGTTCTAGCTTTGGATTGTGAATTGAGTACGTTTCAACGGTATATTACCCATTCAAAATATAAAAATATGCTGCAGTCCTGTTCTGCTTTTTTTTAGTTTGTCATCAAAATTCACTGTCAGAATATGACACATGCATAACCTCCCAAAGACATATAAAAATGTTTTTCTATTTTGGTGTCATATTAAAGTCTTTTCGACACTAAAAGTAGTTTCGAAAAGAAGCTCTTTGTGACACTCCTTTTTTACTTATCGAAGGTTGGTAACACTGGCTGACTGATGGCCATCGAACTGTCATTCGTGATCTTATAATAGAAGATTTCTATATTTGGCAAGTAGTGTTACCAACATAAACATATGAATTCAGGAAATATGAGAATAAAATGTTCAAGAAAAATTTGTTTTTCCTAATTAAACAATACCAAAATAGAAAAAATAGTATAAAATATTCGTTTCATAAGACATTTTATCGCACTCGCCCTTTAGAAAACTCGCCTCCGGCTCGTTTTCTAATATAGGGCTCGTGCGATAAAATGACGTCTTATGAAACTTGTATTTTGATGTACTATTTTCTACAAACGTGTTAAAAATGCAATTTTTAACACCCCCTCGAAGCATTAAAAATGTTACTTTATTGCACTAGTGTTAAAAGTCTTTAAGGCACTAGTGTTAAAAATGAAACATCAAAATTTGAAAGCAAACGTCAAAAAAAGTTTGTATTTTTAATTATTTACATTAATATTAATGGTAAAATTTGAACAACTGAGGAAGCTCCATCGGCCGCCTCCTCTATATTTTTCAAGGGATTGATGCAACCCTCTTTTTCTTGTGTATTTTGTTGCATTTTTAGCAAAAAGCTTACTGACCACGATAGACCATACGACAGACTTTCAAGAAACTGACGAGACATTTCATTACCTGTAAAACAAGGTGCTGGTTGTTTGAATTTTTTGACAAATATCAAATTCAATAATTTTACGTAGGAAAGATGCTTCCAATTTATTATTCATTTAAAAATCCAATTTGTCACTGGTTATTGCTTGTTATTGCCGTTTGTAGAAAAAATATTGTATGATATTTGTGTTAAAAGTATTTTTAAGGCACTTATGTGAATTGCAGAATTCGCTTCGCTCATTCTGCAAACTTTCACATGCGTGCCTTAAAAATGTACTTTTAACACTTATATCATAAATAACTATTATTTTCAACCACATATGTAATGTTGACATTGCAGGTTTTTCAAAATCTTGAAAGTGTCACATTTCTGGACTTTGACATTTATCGGGACGGTAATGCATATGCCTGCCTAGGACGGAAAAGCATTTTCCGTCCGGGACGGCAAATGCT